TAGGAGGTCATTATAAAATGAAATTCTAATGTCAAATGGCATACATGAATAAAATCCTCTACATTCTATAAATGTATGCATATTATAAATACATATCAATATGTATTTTAATGTGTGAGGGGGTTTTCTACAATATTCAACTATAAATAGTTTCGTAGGTGACGATCATTTGGAAAATGCGACTGCAATGCCTCTATCAGTGTATATGAGAGTTACGGATCTAGTGGCATTATTTAATAGCACGTTTTTATACAACATTTGTAGATCATCAATAGAAATAGCATTAAGGAAAAATATATGAGAACATCAGTTCCTGCTTTCAAAGCTAATTCCATATCAATCTCAAGCCTCTCCTGTAATACTTCGAGCTCCAATTTTGCAACTCAAACTTGCTTAAAAAAAGGCCTTCGATTTCTACTACAAGATTTTCCAAGTTGCATTTATAGGAAGGTTTGATAAAATCATCGAAGTGGAAAGTTAGTTGGTTGAAAAGTTTTGGAGGCTTTTGCATGACTCGAATCCTTCTACTTTTTGGGCCATTAAAGCACCCATGTATATCATGAGTGATCTTATCATTTCCTTCACGAATAGGATGTTCATCTTTTAAACATGCTTTGATCCAACCTACATTTTGAACTCATATACCATTCAAAATAGACATGAGGTATTTCATTTTTTTGATGCAGGCTCTATCTTTATTTGTAGCAGTGATGACATGGGTCACATTCCGTTTTCATTTATAAGTTACAAGCACACCATTCAGTCTAACACTATAGGGAAAATGTTAATTTCCGGCGGAAATAAATTCATCTGTAATTCCGACAGATTTTTCGGCGAATTTCTGACGAAATATTTCCGGCGGATTTTCCGGCGTACTTCCGACAAAATTTTTAAAGTTATTTACTACGCATTTTCAGTTGGCTTTTCCGGTGGGTGTGGGACTGTGGTTCGGCGGGCTGGTTCAATTTTTTTTTCATTTTCTTATTTTTCTAACGGAGTTTATATTCGCCAGAAATATGTCCGACAATTTTTTTGGCGGAATTTCACAAAAAATTGTTCCGGCTGAAAGTTTTAAGCCAAAAACATTTTTTCGTCGCGTGTTGAATAGGTGTAAATATTTCAGCCGGAAATTAGTATTTCCGACGGATTTTGGCCATTTTCCGACGAAAAATAGACGTCAGAAATTGACGTTTTTCCTGTAGTGTAGCAAATTTCTCCAAAATTACCTTCTCATCCTTAGGGAGATTAGATTCACAAATTATCTAATCATTGCTTAGACTAAATAAGGACATATTTGTTCTCCATTTAAATAACACAGTATTTCTCCAGAATCCTTAATATTTCTTCAAAGATGAGGCATTTTTCAGCTGATCATTCTATGACTCTATAGAATCATTCAACGTTGCATGCTTAGCTCCAAAGTTAGGACCTTCATCTAGTAACATATAAATGACTTTTCTTTATACGGAATAGCACTTCTTTATCCCAAATCACTATCAGTACCTCTAAGTTTATAAATGGGAGGGCTTAATTATATCTGATCAACGACGCTTTTAGCTTCAATGAAATGGGTGTGCTTCCACGTTCACAAGGGATCTACCACACTTACAACACATCTATCATTGTTGCTTGTTGGTGTTTGTAAGAAGCACTATTGTTTGCAGGCAAGTTTTGTATGTTCATGTGCTTGTTGATATGGACTATCAGTTAAGCTACACTCATTATTGGTTTATCAATGCACATTAGCTGATGAGTCACTATATCTGGTATTATTTCCCATGAATAAGTTAAGGTACTTGTTCGTCAACTTGCTGCTATTGATTTCAAATAAGATTGTGTACTCATCTGCATGTCAAGTTAACCACCAAACAACGTTAAACTCATTGTTGACCTTCCCTATGTATATTGATTGGTTAATTGTTATATCCGCCGTTATCACTCATAAACAGATCGATGCACTTGCTTGTCAATTAACTACTGTTAATTGTGTGCTGGTTAATACTGGTTGAAAGAATGTCACAACATTTGTTGCATTTATTTTGAATGTGTTTGTAGGGTGACTGCAAGTACCATTACTTATGATTAAATGTGTTCGTGTATAAGTTAACTAGCATTGACTGTGAGCAAGCTGTGGTGTAAATGATAATTCATCTAATATTACTTGTGAATGGAATGTTATGCACATCATGGGTCTTGCTAGTTGACGAGTTATTATGTTCATTTGCATGTCAACATTGACTATCGAATGCACTACATTCCTTACTAATTTCTTCACTCATGTAGGCTATCAAGTTATCATTCAATGCAAAACTATCTCTCCTTCTTGTAGGGAATTACTGATGTTAGTCTTGCACGTCGACTATTCAATCCTTGCTTGCAAGTAAGCATTATTTAGAATTTCTTCTATCACAAGTTCCCTGTTGTTCATTAATATTTATTTGAGTGACTTAAATTGTTAGTTAACATTTATGCTTTCAAAAAAATGATGTATTTTAGGGTTTAGGGTCCAGTTCCCTATGGTATAGTTTAAGTTATGTTCTTTACATTATGTTGAAATTAAGTCCCCTGTCAATCAGAATTTTGGCACATCCCAGTGTCTCCCCGATTTAAGGAAATTTTAGGGAGTCTTAGCCTTCTTTCCACATCAAGAAAGACGTGTACGATCGGTGTCAGATGACACATAAGCTGTATTCTTCAATGTCACCATGCTAAGAAAGGCATGTATGGGTCTTCAAGAGTACTTATTAAAAATTAAACAATTCTTTCCTCACACGCAATAAGGTATGTACACATGTACTTAAGTGTTGCCCTGCCACGCTAAAAAAGCATGCATAAAGCTTACCTACCTCGCCACAGACTGCATAATAAGTTCCCTCCCATTACGCTTAGAAAAGCATGCATAATGGTTTCTTGTTGCGCTGTAAGAGCCGAGGACAAGATTTTGGAATTATACTATTGTGATCGAAGTAGAGAATATGCACATATATATATATATTCTTGCCATTTTTTGATATTATATCTTTTTCTCTATTATAGAAGATTCGTGTCTGATCAAGATATTTTTTTGATGATATATTAGTTGTCCCCCTATTTTTGGACATTAAATCTTTTAAAGTTCAAAAATATATCGGCCTTAAAAAATATTGAGCTGTGTAATTATATTTTCAAGCAAATTGAGCGGTGTAACTTATGCCTGATGAAAGTCCGACAAAAAGTCCTACATCGGGTAAAAATCCGATGAAAGTTTGACAACGGACAGAAGTTTGTCGTCGGGTGAAAGTCTGGCAATTGGAGGAAGTTCGATATCAGGTAGAAGTTCGACGAAATTCCAACGATGGACAAAAGTAGGGGTGTCAATTTCGGGTCACGGGTCGGGTTCGGGTGGAACCCGAAACTGACCCGGCACTATTCGGGTCAACCTGCACCCGACCCGTTTTTTAAAACGGGTCGGTTTCCTTGACCCGAACCCGACCCGCTTCGGGTCCGGGTCAACCCGACCCGACCCGAATGACCCGTTTTCAACCAAAAAATTGCTAATTTTCGGGTCAAAAACGGTTGCTGGGAGGTGGTCGAGGAGGAACTTGGTGGCAAGAGAAATCTCTAATTTCTCTTCCTCTCCTCTCTTCTTTCCCTCATTGCTTTCTTGCTTGGACCCCTTCTTCCGCCCCCTTCCATGAGGAATGATGGGTCTATATATAGCTTTCTGAGAGTAACAGAACCAGTAAATAGGAGGAAGATCAAGAGTAAATTGGGAGTGTTTTGAATTGACGACTGATGTTGAATCCCTTAATTGTGGACCATTTAATGGGAATTTGTTTGTCTTAATGATATCAAAATTCGACGATCTTGAGCTTGATGGGTTCTTCTCGTCGAGCCGCTTGATTCGACTATAAGCATGTCACATTTGGAAATCGTTTGGTAATCCAAATCATGATTTGAACCTTCCAAATGCACTTTGGGTCATTGATTTGGACCCATTTGAGCTCGGATTGGGTCGAATTTGGTGTTGTTGGGTCTATCTTTTTGAGATGTTTAGTTCGATTGTAAGTTTGTTGAAATCATAGTTTAGATGATCCCATATTTAATTTTGGAAGTTTCCAACTTAATTTTGCATCGAGATTTGTGCCGGATCAACATAATTTTTTATGATATATCAATTTTATCTTTCAAGTTAAATCTACATACGAGACATTAGACATTAAACTCTCTTTATTGCTATAAATTTGTTGGCACCTAAAAATACAATTTTTTTTAATTGAATAATTAAATTTATATCTTTATAAATAATTAAATACTATATAATGATTAAATCATTAAAAAATTATTACAATATATATATATATATATAATACATTTTGAGTTAAATTAAATTAATTTCGAATCCACAAAATAGAGGAAATTGATTTAAATTCTAAGCACTTAGGAATTAAAAATCCAACCATAAAATGCAGTTTAAGTTTCTAACAGAATTACCAGCCTAATTACAGGCTTTTACGCATCATTATTGTAGGGGATAATTTCTATATCATCAAGTATCTGCAAGGATCAGTTGGCAAGGTGGTTCGGAATGTACATAATGGCGAGGTGGAAGACTTGACTTTTTTGAAGGATTTTGACAATCTTTTATTTCATTTTTTCAATATAAATTGTAATAAGTTAGTTGATTATTGTGCTAATTTTGCTTTCGCTAGTAAATTTTTTTGTATGAGTTAAGTTGTAATAAAGTTTCTCCTACTTTTCTTTCTTTATTAAAGAAGTACAGCTCACCTTGACTTGTTGGTTGAGAGCTTATGCTTCCAACTGAGAGGTCTTGGGTTCGAGTTTTTGTGTATGCGTTGTGTGTCTGAATTTGCCTTAAATGACCTAAATGTCCAAAAAAAAAAAAAAAAATAAATCTGTGATAGTCTTTCTATCACTTAGTAGATTATATTAGGATTGTTTTCTCTTTAATGCTAATCGCAGTTTATCCAAAAAATAAAAAAAAAACTTTTAGCCAAAATCTTTGTCCCTTTTAACGTTCCTTATACTTCAGTGCTTGGTCCTCGCCGAAGTTTCCCATCACACGGGCGGCTGCGACGCATTTTGCAAGAACTGTAGAGGAAAGGGAGAGATGGACGGGAATTAAGCACCGAAAAATGGCAACGAATAACAAACCCTAAGCCTATTTTTTTCCTGGAATCAATCGAATGGCTTCATCAAGAGTGATTGCGTCCTCATCATCCGGTAAATCTAATCTCTCGCGTCAGTCTTCTCTCTACCCGAAGACGGCAGTGGAGCCTGAGAATTCCACAAGCGATGGCGATCCGCCAAAGAGCTTCGGCTCCATGATTATGGAGGATCTTATTCGAAATATCTATGCCGAGAATGTGCCGGCAGTCGGGTCTTCACCTTATGGCGGCGGCGGGGACACGCCGGCCGCTCCGCTTAAGAGTATGGGGGATATGACATCGGATGACGTGTGGAGAGAGATCACTACTGGACGGCAAGCGGAAGGTGCCGACGAAGTCGATGCCTTAGTAAGCGAAACAGAGAGCAAGGATGTTGGGGAGATGACGCTGGAGGATTTCCTTGCGAGGGCAGGTGCTGTGATGGAAGAGGAGGTTAGGGTTCCGTCGGGAGTTCGCTCGGTGGGTCTGGCTGCGACCGACCAATTTGGGCAGCAATCACTGACAATAGAGAATCCGGTTCGGGGGTTCGGGAACGGGGCGGAGGTTGTTCCTATAGGGGGAGGGAGGGGTAGGAGACGGCCTGTGCTTGATCTGGAGGATAGGGTTACATTGCAAAGGCAGAAGCGGATGATTAAAAACAGGGAGTCTGCAGCCAGGTCCAGAGAGAGGAAGCAGGTCCCGACTTTTCTTAGCTTTCTTGTCAATATCTTTCTGCCATCCTAAAGTGAAAATACTGATAACAGCTCAAATTTACTGAGTTCGGTGTTTGATGTGTGTGCTTCGTTTGTTGTTTAGGCTTATACAGCAGAGCTAGAGTCATTAGTCCATCAGCTGGAGCAAGAGAATGTTCAGCTGCATATTGAGCTGGTAAAGTGCACCTCTATTTCTGCATTTTATGACACTTAAATTCATAGGTAATATAAACCAATGAAAGAAAACATGCATCTTTTTCCCGTACCTTATTTTTGGTATCTAGCTTATTTTATCAGCTGCAAAGCTGCATGTCTCATTACTGGATTTGAAAATTATGTAAAGCAGGCCATGAAAGATTTAATTTAGGCAAATGCTTTTTTATATAATTGCAATTAAAAAAAACTTTTTCTGATTGGAGCTTTCTTTCCCAAGAGCTGTTGGCTTTCATGAATCTCAACGAAATTCTGGTTATAAATGATTTCTTTCCCAATGGTATTGAAATAATTGATTTCATAAGAGTATTGTACTGGAAAATATCCTGATTTGATTGACATAGTTAAAATTTTGGAGGGGTAAAAAACTGGGGAAATTTTAAAGTGGCTAAGCATGCATCCTTGATGTTTAACTGTCATTTTCAAATCCATGTTTTGATTCTTGACTGTGATTTTGGATGAATTGCAGGAGCAAGGTAATAAGGAGAGATTTAAGCAGGTATGAGCTATCAACCTTTATCTATTAAGGTGGGAGGTGATAATTTGGTATACTAACTCTAACCAACAATGGTTTCTAAGAGGCATTTAGTTTCAATGTTATTTGATTGTTATTTATATAAAAATATTAGTTAAATAATATTACTATCTAACCATTTCAATTTGTTTGGTTTAATAATATATTTCTTAAACAATTTAATGCTATTTATTGCTGGTAGTAGTATTAATTTTTTTGTCATTTATTTTGGCTCCTAGGTAGTGTGACATATATTTTTTTAGATTGAGATTTGAATTTTGAACTCAACACCTCAATTTAAAGTTGGGGAATGTAACTAACTACTCTTAGCTATGTCGACTTTATCTTGGAGATATTGATGTGGAACGAATATGCAAGGATGAATAACTTAGAGAGTTTGCACGCTTAAGTGTTAGAAGCCACAATAATCATATCTTCTCAATGAATTTTCTAACGACAAAAGAAAACATTAAGAGCGATAAAACGAGCTTAGACTAAATCACATACAAAGGAGTTTAGATCGTAAAACAGTCAATTTAATATAACGATGCATACATGAGTGATTTTCAATGATAATCCCAAAGTTAACAATAAGATTCGTCACTACAAGAAGCTCCTTCACAAAACTCGTCCAATTACTAGGTTTTAGCGGAGAAGATTAGCATGATTTCCATGAATCAAGATATAACCACAATCAAGAAGTAGACTAAGAAGATAGGAGAAAGGGAGGGAGAGTTTACCCAAAGAAAGGGGTTATACGAAGTTCCGGTGGTGGTTTGAGGGCTTGAGAGGAAGTAGACAGCCAGTGGTGGCTCCTTGGACGTTTGGATAGCAATGCATTCGTTCTCGAACCCTTGGACAGCAAGTAGAAAATATGGGCCAGCAATTCCAGAAAGTTCTGGATTGAAACGGTGGCTTCTGAGGATGTTGGACAGCAAGAGGGCGGCTCTGGTTTTGCAGGACTGCAGTTTCCTAGCATTAGGAGAGCTGGAACCGCAAAGGTCTTGGTTGGAAATTTCTGGAGAGCAATAACCTTGACTGAAATTTTCTGGATAGCAAAATCTGGACGGAAATTTCCTGGACAACAGGAAAATTCTTCCAATGGAGGCTCTGGACAGTAGCGTGGGGTTTCAGACAACTGGCCAACCCCTTTTTCCTAGCTGAAATTCCGTTGATAGCAAGTAGGAGCTTCAGGAAAAGAGAGGGAAATTGAGGGTGACGGCTAGGGTGGAGTTCTTTGGGTTGAAACAAGTAGCTTGGGGGAAAGGGGATGAGAGGGAAAATCTGAAGTTTAATTTCAGATTTTCATTAAGGGGAAAGGCCAATTTGAAATTCAAATTAACCCAATTAAGGGAGTAATGGGGCCGGCGGTTACTAGAGGGATTTAGGGGGGGAATTAAATGGCGCTTAGGTGGCAAAGTGGAGAGAGAGAGAGAGAGAGGAGAAGAGAGGGGCCGGCTCTATGGGGGTTGAATTTTGTGTCTAAATTCAATGTGAGTGGGGCCCATGTGGTTGAATACAATAATTAAATCAAATTCTGAATTAAATTCAGATTTGATTGGATATGAAGAGTTTCCCAATTGGTTTTTGTCATTTAAGGAGGGATTCAAAATTCAAATTGAATTTAAAATATGAAACTTCCTAAATGACAAAGGAACGAATTGGGAAAGTATTGAAAGTCTATTTGAATTTGAAACTCAAATTCCATGGATGAATTTTGGTTGGCCGGCGGGTGGGATTTCATGGGTGGCCGGCGGCTTCAGACATGGGATTCGGCGGGCGGTGGAGGAGGAAGTGGGGCCAGATGGTAGGTGGAGGGGGCGGGATCTAGGGGCTAATGAAAGGGGGAGGGGCGGGTGGCTGGCCGGCTATGTGGTGGCTGGTTGGGGAGCCGACGGTTATGGGAGAAAGAAAAGAATTGGAAGAGGAAGAAGATAGGAACCAAGAGCTCTCACAAAGAGGAGCTGTTGGGTATTTCTATTAAGCCTCTCCTAGGCTTCACCACTCACTCTAGAACTCACAAAGAGATCCAAAACAAAAAGCTAAAATTTCATATTAATCATCATCCCTCAAATACAATAGAAATGACCTATATATAGGTCTTACCAAAAAGAAAAGAAACAAAGACTAAATTGCCCTTGGGGCTACAACATCAAATGATCACCCATAAAGGTAAAACAATAAAAACTGAAAATAAAATAAACTACTACATATATGTCTCAAAAAAATATAATCTCCTGATCGTAGCCGTCGATCTCCGATGTCTCCGAAGGTACACATGTCGAAATATCTGACGATGTCTTCATTATTTTCCCCAGGTGGGAGAAAACTCGACTCCGTCGAGTTGGTGTTTCGAGAACTCCTCGTGCATCTGGGTTTATCTGTTGTAGCTCCTCGTTCTCAGACCATGTATCCTCTGACTTTGATTTGCCTCTTCACCTAGAATATCTTCTTTGTGCACCCTCTTTTGTGGAAATAATATCATCACTCAGAAACATGTCAACCTTCTTCGCTATAGGCATTTTGGGAAAAATTTTGGGAGTGGAGGTAGGCTTTGGGGTTCTCACAAGGTAGGGTCACACAAGGCTTAATTTGAGGTGGATTTGGGGTTTAAATTCTGGACCTTCATAGGCTACTAAATCTTCTATGTTAGAAAATGAATGAATGTTGAACTCTGCAAGCAGATCCACCACGTAAGCATTGTCATTGATTTTATTGACTATTTTAACTAATCATGCACTTCTAGCATGTAATTCCTTTACAGTTCCTTGTGGGAATTGCGCCGGACGAATCCGTACCATCACTGAATCACCAACCTCAAAAGTTTTAACTTGTCGTTTAAATTCAACATGAAGTCTATAATTATTATCATTCTATTCAATTAGGCGTGCAATTTTCTTAAGTAGGTCATGCGGATGAGATGTAAATGCGGCATGTGCTATACGAATTTATATGTCTAAAATTCAAGACTCGACAAAACAAATAATATGAAAACGAATTGGTGCAATAGACTTGATATGTCAGATGAATGAAAGGTGGATTCACACACAAATTTTAAACATAGACAATTTTGGAAGACAACAAACTACAAAACACACACACAACATACTAACTCACAATAACACATAGCTAGAGTAAAGGTGGAAGAGTCATGAAATGAGGGGATCTAAAGTGTTCGGGTCTAAGGGAACTGGTGTAGGGGGAGCAATGAAAACATCCTTAGATACTAGGGCATTTCTATAGGAAGTTTCAGTTAGGGTCGTAGGTAGTCTCCTAGGGGCAACAGGGTAATCTAGCAAATTCATCCAACTAGGAGAGAGATGGTCCTTAACAGAGAAGGACAATAACATAGTGGGCAAAACGAATGAATCAGGAACAAGATAAGATGATGGGTCTTGACTCACAACTATAAGGGGATAGTCCAACGAGTCACCAGTAGGTATGGGACTCAAAGGGAGGGGTAGTGTGTCCAAAATAGATGTGGGCACAACCGTTAGAGAGCTGTCATGAGAGTATGGGCTAACACTCTCTCTAGCAGTAATGTCGGTATGAAGAATGGAGAGGTAAGTCCAATCAAGAACGACACACTCGCTAAAATGTAAATCTAGATGAGCAACTCCTAAAATTGACTCCAATAAAGCAAGAGGAGACTCATTATTCAAATTAAGCCCAGAAACTTTCAGACTCAGATCACTATCTTCCAAATTCATACTAATATTCTCAATAGGATCAAGTATAGTCATAACCTTAAGATCAATGGGTTCCGGTTCAATTAAATCAGGGTTTAACTCAAGTGGTAAATTCAATTGACTCACTTCCAACTTGAGATTATCCACGTTGCCATCAGAATTATCCAAGATTGAATCAGAATTACTCAGAATCTTCTCAGTAGGAGGTATGATTAAGTCATAAACTTTCGAATTTAATTTTGTGGTGTTCACAGCCAGATCAGCTCCTTTCGAGATCAAGTTAATATTATCATGACAAACCTTATCCAAAGAGTTATCCTCGAGGAGACTAGGATCAGGGTGGGCTGAGGTGTCGACGTTTAAAGGTTCCAACTTTCCTAGCTCAGGGTTTAAGTCATGCATGGAGTCTAAATCACTCAGTTCAATTTCATCCTCAAAGAAATCCTCGTTATCGATAGTATCCATGAAATGGATGTATTCAGTCTCAGGTTCAATAGATTTCTTCTTTTTAATGCAATTCTTTATTAAAATCACACTTGCAGGGTCAAGGACTGGGGAGGCTAAAGGTTGACTGGGATGGCTAGAAGTGGGTCCAAGTGGGAAGTCATATGAGATTGATCCAACAGAAGACCCAATAAAGGGTCGGCCATCAAGGTTAGGTGAAGACCTACAGGGTGGGGCAGCAACCCTGATGTTACTAAAAGATGGGTGGTCTCGACCACAGTAATGTTTACGGTTTGTTCTAACATAAGAGGTAGGGTGGTGCTCTAGATGGAGGTCACTGGTAGAGGGTCGGTATTTTAAATTAAGTTCTCGCCTCATGCCTTTTCAAGTAGGGTACTCACCGCGAAACTTTTTATGATCTTCCAATCTTATCCAAAATTGAAGAGCCTGACCTTTGAGGTGAGACTTAGCGATGCTAACCTGGTGGGACCCAGAGATATGACGTGATTCAAAATAATCCCTAAAGTAGTAAGGGTCTAAGGAACCATCAAAGGTGGGTAGACTGTAATGCGTGACCGAATGGGACACGTACTTAGAGTGGGGAGAGTCAACGTGTTTCTCCGTCATAATTTTAGTCATAGAGCCCACTAGGTTAACGATGTCATCTAACCTCCTTTGGAGTCTTATCGGGTCCATTGGGAAATGTCAAGTGACACTCAAAGATGATTGGGTGTAAGGGACGTGATTGAGACACTAAGTTAGGCTTTCTTAAACTCACTAAAGGGGTTCAAAAATTGTTTGGACAGCAAGCTACACTAATGAGTTAAGTAACCTAGGCACTTAGGAAGGGTGTTAGGTTGAGGACAACACCTAAACACTTAAGAAACTAGCCTATAGTTTACTAGATGTGTGCCAGAATTATATGGAAAGCAGCGTACAACATGACATAAAGTTGTCTAAGTGTTTAGGAAGGTTTCTAAAGTGTGGTCAGCACTTGAACACACTGAATTGCTCACTAAAAAGGCACCAACAGCAGCAAGAAAAATCATGACATCAAACTAAACAATGGTTTAGGTCGTCTAAATGTGATAGGGATACCACTAGGGTAGACGCAAGGCTAGACCCTAGGATGTTTTTCTAGTACATGACATGCATGCCTACCATGCTCTGATACCAAGATGATGTGGAACGAATATGTAAGGATGAATAACTTAGAGAGTTTGCACGCTTAAGTGTTAGAAGCCACAATAATCATATCTTCACAATGAATTTTCTAACGACAAAAGAAAACACTAGGAGCGATAAAACGAGCTTAGGCTAAATCACATACAAAGGAGTTAAGATCGTAAAACAATCAATTTAATATAACGATGCATACATGAGTAGTTTTCAACAATAATCTCAATGTTAACAATAAGATTCGTCACTACAAGAAGCTCCTTCACAAAACTCGTCTAATTACTAGATTTTAGCGTAGAAGATTAGCATGATTTCCATGAATCAAGATATAACCACAATCGAGAAGTAGACTATGAAGATAAGAGAATAGGAGGGAAAGTTTACCCAAAGAAAGGTGTTATAAGAAGTTCCGGTGTTGGTTTGAGGGCTTGAGAGGAAGTAGACAGCCAGTGGTGGCTCCTTGGACGTCTGGATAGCAACGCATTCGTTCTCGAACCCTTGGACAGCAAGTAGAAAATCTGGGCCAGCAATTCCAGAAAGTTCTGGACGAAAACGGTGGCTTCTGAGGACGTTGGACAGAAAGAGGGCAGCTCTGGTTTTGCAGGACTGCAGTTTCCTAGCGTTAGGAGAGCTGGAACCGCAAAGGTCTTGGTTGGAAATTTCTGGACAGCAATAACCTTGACTGGAATTTTCTGGATAGCAAAATCTGGACGGGAATTTCCTGGACAGCAGGAAAAATCTTCCAATGGAGGCGCTGGACAGCAGCGTGGGGTTTCAGACAACTGGCCAGCCCCTTTTTCCTAGCTGAAATTCCCTTGATAGCAAGTAGGAGCTTTAGGAAAAGAGAGGGAAATTGAGGGTGACGGCTAGGGTGGAGTTCTTTGGGTTGAAACAAGTAGCTTGGGGGAAAGGGGATGAGAGGGAAAATCTGAAGTTTAATTTTAGATTTTCATTAAGGGGAAAGGCCAATTTGAAATTCAAATTAACCCAATTAAGGGAGTAATGGGGCCGGCGGTTACTAGAGGGATTTAGGGGGGGAATTAAATGGCGCTTAGGTGGCAAAGTGGAGAGAGAGAGAGAGAGAGGAGAAAGAATTGGAAGAGGAAGAAGATAGGAACCAAGAGCTCTCACAAAGAGGGCTGTTGGGTACTTCGATTGAGCCTCTCCTAGGCTTCACCACTCACTCTAGAACTCACAAAGAGAGCCAAAACAAAAAGCTGAAGTTTCATATTAATAATCATCCCTCAAATACAATAGAAATGACCTATATATAGGTCTCACCAAAAAGAAAAGAAACAAAGACTAAATTGCCCTTGGGGCTATAACATCAAATGATCACCCATAAGGGTAAAATAGTAAAAATTGAAAATAAAATAAACTACTACATAAATGACTAAAAAAAAATATAAGCTCCTGATCGTAGCCGTCGATTTCCGGTGTCTCCGAAGGTACACATGTCGAAATCTCTAACGATGTCTTAATCAGACATTCCATAAGTTGGAATGACACGGAGAAGATTAGCATGACCTCTGAGCATAGATGATAGCCTGATATATGGGTCTCAGTAGATTTGAATGATATTTGATGCTATTAAAGTAGGACTGAAATGTAAGATAAATTTTATTTGAAGATATCACCTTAACAAATGATTAACATTTTTCGCATAGCTTCTCATGGTAGTTGTCAACATATGAATTATAAATTAACTATAATGACATTATTTATAAGCTATTGTATAAGCATATGCTCAATTTTCTCACTAGACATTTGCAAGAGGATGTACCTTGGTGTATGTTGTTTGCTGATGATATTCTTCTTGTTGATAAGGTTAGAAAGAGAGTTGAAGGTAAACTTGAATTATGGAGGTCAACCCTAGAGTCTAAAGATTTTTGCTTAAGTAGATCTAAAATTGAATATATGGAGTGTAATTTTAGTAGTAATAGACCTAGTGGGGGGATTGTGACTTTGGGTGATCAAGTCATTAATAAGAATACACGTTTTAGATATCTTGGATCTATTGTTCAGAGTGATGGTGAAATAGATGGGGATATTATTAGTAGAATTCAAGTTGGATGGTTGAAGTGGAGGAATGCTTCAGGCCTGTTGTGTGATAGAAAAGTATGCCTCAAACTTAAGGGAAAATTCTATAAGAGGTGGTGAGACCTATAATGCTTTATGGTGCATAATGTTGGCCATTAAAAGAGAAGCATAATACTAAGTTAAGTGTTGCAGAGATGAGGATGCTCAAGTGGATGAGTGTATTTACCCTTAGAGACAAGATACAAAATGAGCATATACGTGAAAAGGTTGGAGTAGCTCCAGCGAAAGATAATATTTGAGATAGTCGCCTTAGATGGTTTGGTCACATAAAACGATGGCTTTCCGATGACCCGGTTAGGAAAGTAGAGGTATTAGATTTGACTTATATTAAGAAAGGTAGAGGTAGACCTAAAAAGGTTTAGTTAGAAAATATTAGAAATGATCTTTCTTTATTAGATTTACACGAGAATTTGACTTTTAACGGGATATAATGGAGAAAAAGGATTCATGTAGCCGACCCCATATAGTGGAACAAAGGCTTGATGTTGTTGTTAATATGTGTCCAAGTTTGCTACATTCTTCTTCAACAAAATGTGTTGAATTCACCATCCTTCATAGCTTTGGAACCTTAATATTCTTTTGAAATAATTTTTTGTCATCTGTCTTCTGGGGCTTTTCATGCCTATTATTATATATGGTTAGAAAATTGTGTATTTCATTTATTGTGTTAAATTGTTGCAATGTACGAAAGATATCTGTGTTAAAATTTATAATAATGGATTAAAAATCTCGATGTTCATTCAAATATGCAATGCTCATTCCTCGTTTGAGCAATTAGAGTGATGTAAGAGTCTTATTAGACTATGTAGTTATTTTTAAGTCATGAGCTTAGGGTTTGCTTCACATGTCGCAAAGGTCTACCCCACACAGCTTAATGGTCGGTGTTTGCCTAAGATGGTGTGGTCCCAATTGTAGCTTTTATCCTCACACAAATGAGCAAGAAACCATACAGGGATGTAACATCTAGGGTGCATTCAATTTGTGCTATGCAATGTGGTGGTCGTTGACTTAAAATCATGATTTTCTCATGTTAATTAATGAAGATCCAAAGAAGATGCTCTAATACCAGTTGATGAAGTCAAAATCATAGTATAGTTCGGTGTCAATTTGGGAGAAGAAGAGCATTAGAGAGAGTTTGTATTTTATTACAAAAGGGCATAATGGTTAGTACTGTTTGTTGTACTTGTTAATGAAGAATTATTTTCAAGTTGGGCCTTAATTGAGCTTTAATAGAGCCTAACTAATTATATATTTGATGCTAATAATTTCAATGTATATTCATATTACTAAGCATTAATAGGTTTTTGAGTTTTAATTGAAATTGACATAAATCACTAAGTATTTTTTATTTTGGTAAATTTGAAATATTTATAAAAGAATATTTAATTCTGGTTGTCCAGATAATGGCACTAAGATTCATGCTTCTACAATCTCCATGCAATTGTGGTAAGGCAAAGTGACAATACTTCTTAGTCTCATCCATCGAATTATTTCAGGATATGTGAAGGCCCTTTCATTAAATCTAGAAAAAAGATGCACATATCTTAAGGCATCAACCAAGATCCAATGGAGCAACTTCGGTCACCCAACTCTAATCTCAAAATGATCGTAGGAGTTGATTCCAATCACCAACCACACAAATCTCAACTTAATGGCCTTATCTACCGTTTAAAGTTAAATGTGCGAAGCATTTGAGGTTATGAAGTTATTCTTTGATGAAATCTATGGGTCTTAGCCTTTTGCGATAGTTAATCACAAATGTTTGATCAGTCCTGCACGGTCTCCATCAGTCAGATATTTCCCTGCATGGTCTCCAACCAATTGCCCTCCTCCCTCATAACCGCCAGCCCTCCCCTTGGTCGATCCCTAGCCGCCCCCTCCCTTCCCATAGTCGCCGGCCCTCCCCTTGGCTGACCCCTAACCGCCTGCTCACCTTCCTCCTCATAGCCGCCGACCATCCCCCACTATCCCTTGGTGCCAAAATTTCAAATTGATCCTTCAATACTTTCCAAATTTAGAGCATCATAAATTTGGAAAATTCTGAATTTGGATTTTAATACCCTTCAAATCTGAAGTTCCATTCCAAAAAGGAGGAATCATGATAGGAAACTTCCCCCCAATCAACCCATTTGAATTTTGAATGGAGATTTGTCATAAATATACTTTCCTTAACTAGTGGCCTATGATTGGCAACTTGATTAAGTCCCCAAATCAATGCTCCACACACCCCTCCTCTCCCCCCCCCCCCTCTCTTTATCTCCTTCTTTATGTGCTCCTTCTAATTAATTTTCTCCAATCAATCTGATACGCCCTAGGGTTTCACAAATTCGGTTTTTCCCTAATTCCCCTCAAATGCAGAGGATAATTCTTCACAAAAAGCACAATTCCACGTAGAAGTAGATGAGAGGAACAAAATAAGATCAAAAGCAATGAATTCCCACGGTAAAATCACAAGAGTTGTGCACTTTGATGATTTTCGGATTAGGGCACAAACCTTCCAAAAAGATGAGGAAAAATTCTAATTGATTCTTGCTTTAATTCCGCAAGCCACCTAACTAGAAATTAATTCCAGATTTCTCCTAATTGTTGGAATTAATTTCAGATTTTGTTGATTGCTGCTTGTCCTTAATCAACTCTCCATGTAGGGAGTAAAGTCACCCCCCCTCCCCCCATGACTCTACTTCCTGTCTTGGTATTTTCCCCTTAGGCATGAAATATCAAGCATGTGTTTTCCCCCCTTCGTACGCTCTCCCTGAAGCCTCGACTCATTGTTGATTACAAGGCTTACTTGTCTCAAGGTGCAACCCCAAACATCCGACGACTAGATCCCATAAGATGTTAGAACGAGAACCAGGAATACGAGGATGGTAAACTCTCTTCCTAACCTTATATCTTTGACTCCTCAATCATGGTTTCGTTTGATTATGAAGACTAATCTACAAAACCCATATTAAGAGCGCGTGTTAGCAGGTCTTTGTAGTGACTAGTTTGATTGTTAATTGATGAATTATCTTTGAGACCTCGTCTTAAGCATGAATTTTTTGACTTGATTATGGTGTGATTCTTCTATTATCATGTAATTGATTGCTTAAGTCTAATCACTACCTCATTGGCTTAAGTCTTTTTTTTAGAACGTTGAACGTTAATTAATTTTCAGGGTTCTGCTCATAAATGTGTAACTCCTAATTTTACAGCATCTACGTATTCATTTAGTTCTACATCATTTTGCCTTGGCTAGCGGGAATCCAAATTGATTATCTTTTCATTATAAGAGTGACTTTGCTTGGTTTTGATTTAGAACAACAATTTTGATGAACCATCTATGAATGAAAAATATAACGTAGAAAGATAACAGAAAAATAGTTCTTACCTAGTCGCCTGCATCTTATCTTATGGTTGCTCGTTGTGGTAACCACTTTAATGAGAAGAAAACAGATATTGTTTTGGAACAATCTTTATAATTACTACATAAGTACCTGGATGCAATTTTTGTTGAGACTGCTTGAATAAACTTTTAAACTGAACTTTTTAATAAATTTTGTTTATCTATTACTCAAGATCTATGATGTCAAATGTTCCTTGATAATGAGAAGTGCATGTTGGCTTTCAAAATAGTATTTATGTCAAAGGAATCATTTTAAAATATCTATTTCTGATCCAACTATTTGAATTAAAAAGTATGCATATCAATTTGATTGTTTTTTAAAACGGAAATTAGATGTCACACTATTACCTTATTTTATGGTACATAAGGATGGCTATGTTACTTAACATTATATTTCTCTACAAAAGTATGAACAAGTACTTCTAATTATTTATTGTTGGTTATTGAAATGGTGCGACACACAAGTTTTGTGGCATGCTCCTAAGATAATTGTGTGTGCATTCTAATTAAGTGACTTATGCCATAGGTTGTTCTACAATTCTAGACAACAATAACAACATCAACAATTACATCATGTCTTTATCCCAATGTGAGGGGTTGGCTACATGAATCATTTTTCTCCATTATGTCTTGTTAAGAGTTAAATTCTCATTTAAATCTAATATAAAAAGGTCAATTATAAAATTTCTAACCAACTCTATTTAGGTCTACCTCTATCTTTCTTAATATAGGTTAAATCTAATACATCTACTCTCTTAATCGGGTCATCAGAAGGCCAGCACAATTCCATAATATTAAAATAATAATTTGCCTAAATGATGGAAATATAACGTATACACTCATCAAAACATATAAATTGAAGATGAGCATTATGAGTTTGAGTTGTATTTTTTTAAAAAACATGCATATGATAATAATCCTATCGAGAACATGTTGCGTTCTCTCATGTTTTGATTATCTCTTTAGGTTTGATTTAATTTTAGATGTCATTTTAATTCAACGTTTGTATTCCCTAGTTCAATAATTTCCAATTTCTTGCTTTAAAACGTAATCAATCGTCTATTTTGTCCTTTCATTGATTTGGAAGTT